AATTTGCCTCTTTTTATCATTCAATATTTAAGAGATTTGTGTGAAGGGTGACTGGTATCTTCTTAATTTATATTATTCAAGTTATTTTAGTCAATAATATTTATAATTACAGTGTGTCTGGGTGTGCCTTTTGTAGGCGTTAGAAACATAGAGCAGCAGAACAGTTAACACTGAAAGTGTTACTATAAATCAATTCAGTACAAAAGTAGAAATTCCATTCCAAGAATTATTCTAGGATATCAAAATACAGTTTTAGCTTCAGCTTAAATGAAAGCATTCTTCACAACTTGAAGTATTTTGAATTCAGTTAAAATACTGTGTTGAAGCTTCATTTTAAAGGCAAAATAGTCTTTGACAGAGAATTCAGAACATCTCTATTCAAAACTTAAATAACGCAGGTTCAACAAAACATTTGTTATGATCAAAACAAAATCTTTCAACATTCCAAAAAGTAATAGCATTTTTAAAAAAATTTAAAGTGTTAACAGAATTGCTGTTTTCTTTAAAATACTGTGATTTTCTTGAATCCGCATTTCTTGACAAGCCTCTATCAGAATGTTTTATCACCTCCCTGTTGCAAGTGAATAAAGAAATAGGAGCTCAGGTTTAGTTTAGGATAGAACAAATTACATTAGTCACCTGTAGCACCTGAACTCCCTATTTTATCCATACAATTAGTGACATAAAATACTTTGTTATTTTATGTACATATTAATTGATTAAACATTCACTAAATAAAACACATCTATATTTCTAAAGTATGTATTTCTTTATTCCTTGTTGGCCATTCATGTCTCTTTGATCTTGCAGATCTTTGGTTGCATTTTTTCAAACTGTCTTGATGAGCTGAAAAATATCTTAACTAGTGTAGCTGATTGCCTCAGTACTGCAGAGAGAGCTTTCTTTGCTTCCCCTGTCTTCTTAGATCAGTAGCATAATATGCCAACAACAATTAATATTGCAGTTCATAGTCTCAGCTGAAGAAGGTTTTCCCTTTTTTTGGAGGAATAGTATGATTGCTTCTTAAAAATAGAAGAGTAAAAAGCCAATTATAAAACCTGTAGTTTAGAAGATTTTGCAAAAGATGTTTATATAGCAGAATAATTTCAACAGAAGGGTCAAGATGGAGAATAATGGCTGAGAAATAATTTTCAATTAATACAAAATTGGGGAATTAAATAATATTTTTTTTTTAAGTCTCAAAGACTTTTGGCTCTCTGCTTGTGTCTAATAGCTGTTTGTCTTTTATCTTACTTTTAGAAGTTATTAAATAGTACCTACATACATAATTTTATCCCAAATAACATGCCTTCAAGTTCTGTTGCCGATCTGGATGTATGGTAATTCAAGTGTAAGTTTTCAGTAAATGAGCAGTTTTTTCTCTTTCCCTCTCTCCTCCGTTCCCCCAGATTTTTTCCTCTTGCTTGACTTTTTAACAGGCCACTTGGCAGGTGGTGTAAGAACAGGCTCTTTTACTCAATATTTCCGTATATGTGGTTAAAATAATATCTGGTGGGGTTTGTTTGTTTGTATCTGTTGTTGCTTTTTAATCAATATTAACTGTTGTCTGTACAGGAGTCAGAATAAATCAAAACAATTTCTTGTTTTATTTTTCTTTTCCCTTTGGTGGTCAGTGCTTTGCAGTATTTTTACTCAAGTTGTTGTGTGCTGACAGGGAGGCCTGCATCACTGCTGGTAATGATGCATGAGAAGGAAAAACAGTTGACAGTTTTAGATCTGCTGAGTTTGAAAAGTTGTGAAACATCCTATTGTTTTAAATGTTCACAATTTTCTTAAAGTATGTCATTGGAAGACTTAATCATGGAACCCCAAGAAGGCGTGTTTAGTGATTTGGTAGAATAGAATAGCACTAAGTATTCACTTAATGAATGAGCCTAGTTGATAGTACAGTCCTGCCCCCCACCTTGATTTGAAATGTTAAAAAATATTAATATGTGTGTATTTTAAAAATAACACAGGTAATTCATAATTATGCCTCCTATGTCACCATTATCTTGAAGAATTTTTCACTTCTGTTCATGATTGCTTGCATCTATTTTGTATAAAGTGTTCTGAATTCTGGTAGCAAAACAGATCAGTGGCGCTTTACAGGAGAACATAGTTGTCAGTGTTGTGTAGATAAGCACCAAAGGAAGATATTTCTGTGCCAAGCAGAAGAAGTAAATTGTGTGAAGTTCATTGTTTCCAGCATACTTTTCTGTCTAGAAGTGTAAGATAAGCTGAATATACTCTTCCTAATATAAGCTTTTTTTTTTTTTCTTCATAATGGAGACTCTACAAGTAGACTTGTAGATTGGAGATGATTGGAGATTCATTGGACATGAAAGGAGGTTTTAGCTTTGTACTTGGAGATCACTCAAATATAAAAATGCTTTAATGCAGTAAGTTAATTGAACTAGGTTATTGAACAAAGATGACAGATTATTTCTGTTCTGTTGTTTGTTTTTCTTTTCCTTTGACATTTCTTTCAGAAGTGATATTTCTCAAGGACTTTGCTCATCAATGAAGTGGTTTAGATGTGTTTTGGTGTGTAGTTGACTAAAAAACAAGATTATAAAGTTTCTCTGTATCTCTAGGTTTTTCTCTGGGTGTGACTGCTCAGACTGCCAACACCAATTAGAAGTGTATTGTTTCAGGTCTGCCTGTCCACTTTTACAAAGCTGTACTAAAGGTGTTCTGCTGGATTGTTTGGGGGGAGGAGTTTAAAGGCTGTTTTCTTAACTGCGCCTGATCTGTATTTGTAACAATGACAAAATTCTACAGGATAAAAGGCAGTGCGCCACAGGGGGAAAAAAACAAAACAATCTGTCATATTGCTTTTGAGTGTGGTTACCAAGTGTGTTGTTTCTTTTAAGTTTGTTGTTTTCGTTTTGTTGTTTTGTTTTGGGCTTTTTTAATGGAAAATGGTTATGCTGCCACAAAATATAGGCATTTTTAAAGCAATTTAGTTTCATGATAATGAAGGTTTAATTGCTTTGATTAATAATCAACTTAAAGCCTTCCTGACTGTGGCTTGAACGAGGAAATGTCTCCTAATACTTTCAGACAACATTTCTTGCTGTCATGGCTTCAGGGTATGATCATTTATCTGACAGAGAGAAAGGGTGTTTGCTTGCATCATTAGCACAGTCAGTTGGAGAAACAGTCAAGCAATGACTAGCTTCTGAAAATGAAGTTTGGGCTTCCAAGTCTTTTAGATACTTTTTGAACTTTAGTAGCCAGCTTGCCCATTCATCTCATGGTCCATGGATCACTCTGACTCAGGTATATCCATGTGTGTTTCCAAGGAATTCCTTCATGTTTAACACGATGCAACAGTAAACAACTCCCCCACCTGCCCCACTCTTCTTGCGTTTTCTTGATGTTTCAGAATTTATCAACTTAAATGGTGCAATTATTGCTCAAAGGATCACATTCTCATAAAAGAGCTGCATCTTTGGATTTCACTGATTCAAGATCATCTTAGTCATCTGCCTATTATTCCCATCTGTGCATCTTTTCATGTTGTTACTGAGATATTTAAAAAGCCAAGAAAAATTATGTGACTAGCCTAGCAGCTGAATCATTGTATTTTATGTTGAATATCAATGCTGGCACAGGAAATGCAAAATACAATCTCAGATCTTTTTGAATGATTGAAGGAGGAAGAGATTTGTAAACAGTTTGCATTTCTATAATTTAATAATAATGATAGTTTTAGATCAGATTTGGGTTGGAGGGGTGGGTTTCTTTTAGTTTTTGTTTGTTTCAAGAGCATCACCTTTATGTAAATTACACATTTTGCAAAAATTGTCATGGTTTGTTAATTTTAATTATTTATTTTTTTCATAGTATTGCATGTATGTTGATAATTCTGCATTATATTATGAAAAATGCGTACATATTTTCAAAATCAAAACTTGACCAGTTTGTAGTAATTGGAGTACAAACTGGATTTGTTTTATTTACTGAGTCATAATCAATTAGCTAACATTAGAAGATATTTTAATTTTTTATAGGAGTAAATGTTACATTTTTGCTGTGTGGTGATGCCCTGTATTCTGGTAAAATTGCACTCCCAGCAACCAGAACTTATCAGTGTTTCTATTTGGTATTGACAGCCAAAAGGCAAACTCCATGTTACTTAATCTTTGACAAATGTAAAAATAAATAAATAAATAAATAAATCTGATTTTTTCATTTCTGTAGACTTAAAATTAATAAACACTGTAATTTTTCAAGGATGGCTCATTCAGAAGTACACCTTAAATGAGGAATTGTGCATTTAATTGAAATTATTCCTTTGCTAGGTTTTGTATCAATATGTACAAATTAATCTTTTTTATTCACTGTACAGGACTTGTGATCAAATAATATCATTTTCCTTGAGATAAAGATCTTAATTTTGTACTCAATTTGCACAGAATGTTTTCTAATAATGTGTGTATTTAAACTGTTCTTTTGTAACTACATTTTATATTTCCAGTGCATTAAATTTGTTTGTGTGGTTTATACAGAGGAAGCACCAAAAGAAAAGAAAAAAAAGGCAGGAAGAACATAGGACTAAGAACAATTTTTAAAGTCATATGCAGAGCACTCGAAGGATAAAAGAACAAAGGCACATCAGAATAAAAGTAGGAGGAGGGATATTTCCTTTTATTCATCTCCTAGCATATGCAAAAAACCTCAAAAACCCAACAAGACAAAATGCTGGTACTAGCTACATACGCTTGTTATCTTTCATTAATAGTACATGAAGAGATTCCAAGTAAAATCAAATATAGCAATATAAGAGAGAATTATACATGTAACACAAAAATCTCAAGCACTTTGGAATTTGCATGAATAGAAATTGAACATTTAAACCAAAGACCATTAACCAGAGATCAGGAGAATAGAGGACAGAAATTTTGGAAGGATTTCTGATGCATAAAGTTTACACTTAAAAAATAAATCTATCATATAAAAAAGAGTAAAACCACAGTCACAGCTCTAGTGTGAAATATTTTTAAGATGGTCACCTAGTGAAAGGGTGAAAAATGTCAATCTCAATGATGGTGTGTACCCACTAGAACAAGTGGTTTCTTCACTGATCACTTGCTTGTCTTCGTAAAGGTATAATGTCAAACTTGGTTTATTGTTTTAATGTGTTGGTTTTGGGGTTTTGTTTTTGTTTGTTTTTTTCACCCTGCCTGATAGGACATCGAAATGATGTCAAATAATATATCTTTCAGCTCGTTTCATTTCAGTAGTCTACTCTGGGATTATTTGGGCTTTCAGTACAATGAAGGGATGTTAATATTTTCTAAAAGCATTTAAAGGGATATTATAGTAAAATATTATAACAAAATTTATATTGGTCCTTGATTATTTGACTACTTTCTCATGTAAGTGACATAAACAATTAAGTTACAACAAAACTGTAATTTGAGTTAATTTTATTTTCAGGTATCTGAACAAAATGAATTTCATTACAAGGCTTTCTGCTTTATGTCTGAGGAAAAGCAAGATGCAACAGAGGCACCAAAGTAGTAGACGACCAGCTGTTCCACTTGGATCACGAATTTTAACTGATCCTTCTAAGGTTTTTGAGCATAACATGTGGTGAGATGTTTCTTCAAGGCTGATTTTCATATATTTTTGTATATTATTTACTATGCTGAATAATGAGGAGGATGGGGGTGTGTATTTATAACACTGAACTGTCAGAATAGACTTTGAAAGGTACTGCTAGAGAGAACTTGAGACTGTCACAAGTAACTTGACAGTTATGAGTTATCAGTGACTTGCTTAAAAAGCTGCTGAGTAAGTAATAGAATGAAAGGAAAAATGTTGTTATACATCAGTAGTTAATTTGGGGTAACAAGTGAAGAGGATAAGTAGTCTGTGTTGTAATGGCAGAAAGTTACTGGTTAGGTAAAAATAATGTTGCACACTGAATTAGTGCTATATTCTAAAATTGACACCATTTCAGAAGAAGCATATAGATTATATGTATCCTTCTAAAAACATGCTGAAGATATAACAGTTCAGCAGAGATTTTCCATGCCGTGCAGAATTGTAAAAAATAATTGAATCTTAACATAAACAATCAATACAATAGCTGAGAAAACATTAACATGTAGATGTTAACAGAAATAAGAATTGCCCTGACTTGATGCAGTGCATTTCCATCTCTGAAAGATATTTTAATGATTAATGGAGACTCAGAAAGGAGTGAGAATGATAGTTAACAGTGGGAAAACTAAGATTGAAAAGGCTAGGATTTTTGACCATGGAATGGAGATTAGTACAAAACAGTAAGTGATACAGGAAGTATTTGAAGGATAGAAGACTATCTAAATCTGTCTAGAAAGTATAAAAATACCTACATAAGCTATTTGGAAGACCAAAAATTTTTATTCCTATTGTTCAAAACTTGAGAACAAGGAATATTTGATGAAAAGAGAGTGGGGAATTTAGAAGCTATACAAGAAATTATTTTCTACATAATTTAAAAATACAGTTTTGAATTCTGCCCCACACCGTTTTTGAGAGCAAGGATTTAGCAAAATTAGAAAAGTGACTGGATGTTGCTAACATGACAAGTTTCAGGGCTTAAGTTTACGTCATAAAGTTAGTCTGCAGTTTGTATACCTTCCTCAGATGTGTCTCTTGTTGGCAACTGTCAGAGAAGTTACTGGACAAGCTTTTGATCTGAAATGAAGTTTCGAACTTGCTGGGTTAAAAAAAGTAGTCCATTTTATTTGTTAATGGGAACATTTTATATTTAATGTAAATTATATCAGAAGTTTCTCTAATAAAATTCTGATTTATTGAAAGGTCTTAAGAGAAGAATATTACACAGAACATTGTCTTCTGGTTGAGAAACTAGTATTTTCATTACTCTTTTAGTATCTAAATTTGAGTTTAACTCATGAGGTAAGATATGCAAATAGATCTGTCACCTACTGTTTTCTAAATTAGATGTCCTCAGCACATACCACCTTAAGGCCAAATCTGGAGTTATCTATACCTCTGTAAGTTCCTTGGTCAAGGAAGCAGGAAGCTGGCTGGTTACTTTGTTAAAAGAGAGTAAAGTTTATCTCTGTGTTTCATAAATCTATGTGCAGTGCAGTTCTTAGACATCTTCCACACTCAACCTCCTGCTAGGTAGAAAAATCCTTTACTTGTGTGAATGCTGATTCAAATGTAGGCTGCATAGTCTAGGTAGGAAATCGTTTTAAGAAAAAGGCCACTTTTTTCCTCTTGACATTGTGCCTTGACAAGACGCAGTTTTGTTTCATTTTTTAAATGTCCTTCCAAATAACTGGTAATGCTGGATCAGTTTTTCTTACTAGCATTCAATGACAGTCTTAGTATAGAGTTACCAAACTATGATGCAGGTGGTTGGGATGCACTGTGAAGATGGGATTGAAAGGAGCAAGGTTATTCCGTAAGTGGATCTGCAGTTGAAGCCATGTATGGAAAACAGGTGAAACTGAGTTGAAGCAGAGGCTAAATGGAAATTATGAAGGTCCTGATAAATCAGGAACCTGGCTATGAAGCTGAGGAAGATCCTTGGATGTGAAGCAGCAGTGTTCTCACTAGGGAGTTAAGGGAGATTGGGATGCGTGGTGGTTGAGGTAAACAAGTCATGCAGTGTGAACATGAGATACATCTTCCCTAGCTTTGATGTGTATTTATATCTGTTTGTTTTCCACTCATTATGTTTAGTCAATCATAAAGTGGCATCCTTCTTTTTGCCTGTGTGTGAATTGGCGGGGAGCCAAGACCTACTGCCA